TCATAGAATTATCCCTGTGTCACGACAGCACACAATCCAGAGAAAATATCAGTTTCTGTGCACTCACCCCAAAATCACCTGGCATAAGTAGAAATCCTAAAATACGGTCCTTCTGCAAAGGTCACAATTGCCAAACCACGGAGGACTGAGGAGATCAGCAAAGAACTCAGTAGCAGGTAGGCAGCCCCTGGAAAGGGTCAGAAAAATCCCTTCAGTCACTGCAGATTGGGGTGGGGATATCCAGATAAGTCTGGCTGGAAGGTGTCCACTGCCTCCATCTCTCCTGTCGGGGCTTGGCCATGGACAAGGCTACTTGTCACTATCAATACAGGAGCAGTGGTTGGACTCCACTCCCCACCCACCTAAGGTTTATGACAGGTGAGTTGGAGCAGTAAGTGAAGCTGCCCTTGCTCAGCAAGTCCTGGCTACTGAACCATGTCACTGCTGCCACCAACTCCACCCCATACTATTGAGGGGAATGCTGTTGAGCTTGGTGATGCTCTCCTGTCCTGCGCTGTGGAGCTGTAGAAAGGTGGTGGTGGTAAATGGACAGGGCACTGAGCAGGATGGCAGCCCCACTGTCCTCATTTTTTAAATTAACAAATAGAATCTGGATAACTAAATCCAGAAAACTCTTTGTTTTACCCCTTCGTATCCTTTCTTCCTAAAGGACAAGTAAAAGTTTTCTTCAGGATGAAGAAAATGGACAGATCCCCTCTTTCCTTCCATGCGCAGGCCACATTCTCAGCATCCCAAGTCCAGGGAGATCCCCTCATGTTCTGCACATCATGTGACCACCTGAGCAAACATCCTCATATGACTTTTAACTTGATGGATCTTGTCTTACTAGTACCCCCTTAGGCTTCACATTTGAGACAAAAACGGTCTCTTGGAAGTTTTTATTTCAAAAATGGATTTCATGCCCTACTAAATTTTACAAAAATTACTGCAGCTAAAAAAATAGGGAGGGAAATAAAAATTACAACAAATGGGTTTCAGGGGCTGTTCATATACTTGTTTAAAAATAAAGACAACTCTGGTCATAGAGCTTAGAGATACGAAAAGCAAATTTGTGTATCTATCAACTTAATCTCAATTATGTCATGGTGATAAACGAAATCCAAACACTAATGACTTACCTCAACCAAAGTCTACAGTCATGCACCACATTGCAACATTTTGGTCCATGACAGACTGCATGTAGACGGTGGTATAGCATGTAGCCCAGATATAGAATAAGCTATGCCATCTACGTTTGCATAAGTGCACTCCCTGATGTTCATTCACACGATGATGAAAACACCTAAGGACACATTTTTCAGAATGTATCCTCCATTGTTAAGCAGTGCATGACTATTTCTCACACAACCTTCTGGGATTAATGGATTATTGGAATTAAGGTTAATGGGATCATTATCTAGGACAGAGAAGGCTCATGGTAGTGAGAAAACAATTGCCCCAAAGATGAAGGATTCCGCTGAGACAGTACACACTACCTCATTAAATCCACTCATAGTTCACTGGCTGAAAAAAATCACAAGGCGAAGACTGACATCAATAATTTGGAAAATATAATCCCCTTGGAAGACGTGGCCTGACCGGGCTGGTGTCACAAGGATAGTCACAAAATATCTGGCCTCTATAAAATATATTGTCCTTCTATTTGGTCAAAATTATTAGCTTCCATCCATAAAGCACACAAAATAATCTTACCCTTTTCTACCAGGCACAATATGATTTTCCACACCCAAAGCCTCCACTCACACTCGATCCAGATAAAACTCTTTAAGTTTTCTCTCTAGCTTGTGTGGGTCAGTGGATTGAGTGCCAACCTGAGAACCAAAGGGTCGCCAGTTCAATTCCCAGTCAGGGCATATGCGTGGGTTGCAGGCCAGGTCGCCAGTAGGGGGCGCATGAGAGGCAACCACACATTGATGTTTCCCTCTCTTCCTCCCTTCCCCTCTCTCTAAAAATAAATGACAAAAATCTTTAAAAACAAAAGGAACTCTTCAAGTTTTCAAAGAACAAAAGCCCATGTTGTGAGCCAGTTGGAACAAGGACTAGGTCCATGTAATATACATCCTCTCATAATATGGAAAAAGAGGAGGGATCCTGCACCCACTAGAACTTAGCAGTAGCAAGCTTCAGCTGGATACATGTTTTGAGGGAAAGCTCCCCTTAACAAGAATGCTCTTCCCCTCCTTAAGGTCAATTTCTGCTTCCTAGATGAAGTACAGACTGAATCCTTAGATGTCCTTTGCTTGGTCTCATTTATAGGGGCATTAGAAGCTATAGCTCTCATGGGGTTTTACCATCTAGGTATTTATCATCCAAGAAGGTGAAATACACAAAATACTGTTTTATCCAAAAAAAAATTGTTTCTTTTAAAGCATGTGAATTTTCCAATAATAGTATACAGATACACTGATAAAGGAAAATACACACAAATAAAGACCAATTAACCCATCTGATTGCACTTATTTCCAGACGTAATTAGCTCATTCCCCCAGTTTGTTACACCTAATTTTTCTATCTCTCATCTTAACTAAAATATCCTGAGCTTATCAGTTGTCTGTAGCAATAGCACACCTTTTTTTTCCCTGTGGCAGTTTACAGGAATGCTTTCTTAAATAATACAGGGATGATTTGTTAGTAGAAGTTTCAATGCAATTATTGCTTTAAAGGATTTAAGCCACAATGCAGATTTGATTTTTGCTTTTCTTAACTACATGTAAAATTTTTGTTAGAAAAGTGTGTCTCCAAGTTTTTATTTCTTTTTTTGAGTGTAAAATCTACCTGTATACCTTACCTTGTAATTCATGCATTATTTCTATCCCCTTCCCTTTTTCCTGTTAGGCAATATATTTCTTTTTAATAGTGATAGAGTATGCCTTTATTAAACACTTTCCTTTCTGAGCACATTTCTTCCTAGATGTTCCCAGGCACTAGTGGCCAAGAATATATAAGTCATGATAAAGATATTTGTTATCCTTCAGTCAATTCACAAGAGGGTTTAAACCATTTTCTACCTTCCAGGTTTTCACAGCTGACATAGATTTACCAAAAACTTTAGTGTCATAATGTGAGTTGCTATCTTTCTAGAATTTAATGAAGTTTTCCATTACCCATGGCTTGTCCTCAAGACAAATCCACATATATACTTATTTCCTGTAATGTCACCATTTCAAAATAAACAGTTTGGTGCTTGTATCAGGCAGAGTTCAACTGTTTAACCAAAGAAACAGAATCAGTATATAGCATGTAGAGATTTATTGCAAGGAATTGAATTGTATGACTGTGGAGACTAGCAAGGCAAGTCTGAAATTCATAGTAGAGGCTGAACTCTTGAGCATGAGCACCTACTAACAGGCAGAATTTCTTCCTCTCAAGGAAGCCTCCACTCTCCTTTTGGCCTTTCAGTTGATTAACTCAGGCCCATCCTGGTTATTATATAGAATAATCTCCCTTAGTTAAAGTCAAGTGATTATGGATTTTAATCATACCTTCACAGAAACACCTAGGTGAATGTTTGAATAACAAAGATCTCTAGTCTAGCCATATGAACACATAACAGTGACCATTTCTTGTCACACCTTGTCAATCTATAAACCATACACCTCTCCTGAAACCATAATTTCCATTTATTTGAAAGTAACAGTGATATTTCTGCCTAATGGCATATAGCTATCCTGTCTACAATAGAAACATGCTAATCCTTTCCCCTAAAGAGAATGCAACACCCTTAAGTGAGTTGCATCCTTCTCTTTTGATACTCCTTAAATACAGTGATTTAAATAGATCTTATACTGGATCATTATGGGATAACAGCAGAAAGAAAACAAAAAATATCCTGTATGTATATATTCAGATTCATAACAAGTTTATCATAACTAGTATGTCCACATTTCTGCAAATGGTCAAATGGTAGTGGCTGGTATTAACTATTTTCTTCCACTACCAATTCATATTTGCTTTGACCTCAGCAACAATGTCACATGGTTTATGGTCCTTTGCTTGGTCAAGTCACCCAAATATTTATTTATATTTATATATTTATAAATACATACAAATATACATATGAGTCTGTTCTTAGAGAACCACTCCAATAACCTCTATATTTAATGTTCAACCAGAGAAACAGAATCAGGAGTGTCCTGAACTCAAGTTGCATAGGAAACTAGTGAAGTTATACTTGTGTGTGGGCTCACAGACACAGACACATACATATAAAGACATTATTATAAGGAAATGGCTTATAACACTTGTGAGACCTGGATAGGTAAGAATGAGGTTTCAGCCTTGGAAGGGCAGGCTGAAACTCTGGCAGGAAAGCATGCTGCTGTGAACGGTGTGATTTCATTTCCTTGAGGAATACTGAAGCTTTACTCCTAAAACTCAATAATTACATCAGCCCCACCCAGATTATCAAGGATAATCAATCACCTTAAGTAAATCCAACTGATGCTATAATTCAATCAAACCACAAAATACCTTAACAGCAACACCTAGATTAGTGGGTTTTCTTAATAACTGTGGAGTATAGACTAACCAAGATGACATGTAAACCATATAATCAACAATGGAAAGAAATGTGTCGGTAAGAGCCAAGAAAACAGAAAAAATACAATGTGAAGTCAGGATATCGATATAACACTATAAATAGTATTGTCAAGCCAAAAACAAATTAAAAAGCAAGAGTCTAAAACATTATAAAGAAAAATGTTTATATATAAAAATATGTATTCATGTAAACTAAGGAGCACAAATTCTAAGTCATATTTGGAAAGATGATAGATATAAAATTGCCTGGTAGTATCTGTACTGCCTTTTAACCTGATTACTTCAGATTTCTTTCTAAATGTGTGAAATATTTAAAGGATTAAATAGAAGGGTATTTAAGAAACAGGTGGGTCATCCTCAGCATTGATAAACCCTGTGTCTTGGAGAGCTGCTTAGTAGCCCACTGTTGTCTCTGTGGAATCCAGGTACCTCTTCCCAAGATGGGTTTGAACAGCACTGCAAGTGGTAAGTTGCCATCTGCTTTTTGCTCTCCTCTTTAATAATACTGCATGCTTCATATATTTTCCAGAGTTTATTAAGGTTAAAATCACAATCACAATTACAGAAGCCAGGGGTGTTTTACAGTGATATGTTACATCAGGGGATTGATAGGTGCTTTAAAGTTGGAGGCTTGGAATTTTAAATGTAAGATGTTATACAACTGGAAAAACCTTGTAGGCAACATACCTAAGAGATAGCCATGAGTCTGAAATGTGGGTTGTCGGTTTTAAAGTTGACACTTTAAATGAAGAAAAATATGTATGGAGTGCCTAATATTTTTTAAATTTTTTTTCATCCTCACCCAAGGATATATACATTTACTGATTTTCAGAGAGAGAGAGAGGCATTGATGTGAGAAACATCAATCGAGTACCTCCTGAATGTACCCCAACTGGGGATCAAACCCATAACCTAGGTATGCGTCCGGACCAGAGATAGAACCCACAACCTTTTTTTTTCTTTTTTTTTTTTTTTTTGATGTACAGGATGATGCTCCAAGCAGCTGAGCCACCTGGTCAGAGCTGGAATACTTAATGTTTTATATTTCATTCTACCAAAACATATTTTTATCAAAAAGTAGCAGTTTTTGTGTATTTTATGTAAACTATTACTTTTTTCAATGTGTTACTTGTGTCATGCATTTTCATAAGTTTTCCTAGGTCCTACTGCTTGCTATTCTCTTTGCATGTAGTTTTGTGGATTTTCAGTAACTTCTTCCTTTGGTAACTCAGACCACAGGTTGTAATTTTTTACTATTGTATATATATCCAAACTATACGTCTCTAACTTAGCATGACTTTAGCTCTATCCCTAAAGTAAAAATACAGAATAATCATTGGTCCTAAAGGCTTTCAACCTGAAATAAACATAGGACATATGTTCACACAGTTTTTGATCCATAAATGCATTCTTCATACTTCACATTTCTGTTCATTGGGCAAATTACGAAAAGCAACCTGGCAACACAGGGCTGTTTACAACCAGAGTCAAAAGGACATCCTTCAAAAATGGTTTGAACAAAACCCTTACCCTGATGTAGCTACTAGAAAACAGTTGGCCAAGGAAATTGGCATTCCAGTGCATAGCATTCAGGTAAGCATTAGGCTTCTATTTCATTAACTGTCAGAGTCAAGGTAAAAAGACAATCTGGGCTCAGCACTGTCAGGCAATTCTCTCATGTTAGGTATGTTGCCCAGAAGGTTTTTCCTGTTATGTAATGTTAAAAACAAAAGGGACAAGAACTCTGTATCTTCTACTAGTGTGGGAAATATTGCTTGGGTACGTACATTCACTGATGGAGGAAGGAGAATATACTGACCCAGGCTCTCCCAATAAGGGATATTTAAATCAATTTCAGCAAATACAGGAAATAAGATCACTATGATAACAATATTGTATCATTAAGTATTGGAATATATACTGCAGAATAATGATTAATATGTAATTATGAGGAAAATATGGGGCAAGAGCTCATGTGAATACCCAATTTTCAGACCAGTTTTTGTTTTGTTTTGTTTTATTTTGTTTTAATTAACATCTTAGGCCTGGCTGGTGTGGCTCAGTGGATTGAGTGTCAGCCTGCAAACCAAAGGGTTGCCAGTTGGATTCCCAGTCAGCACATGCCTGGGTTGCAGGCCAGGCCCCGAGTAGGGGGTGTGCAAGAGGCAACCACACATTGATGTTTCTCTCCCTCTCTCCCTCCCTTCCCCTCTCACTAAAAATAAATAAATAAAATCTTTCTGAAATTAATATCTTAAATGTGATTCATAAACAGGAGTGTATGAAATACCATACTGAATTATTCTGAATAGGACTAGTGATGTAAAATTGAAATTAAGCTGGATTTCTTCAGTCAGCAAGAAGATAGCTATAAACAACACAATTATACTGGGTGAAACAGTATTTAAAGCAATGAAGACAAAATGTGCTTTTAGAGGAAAATAATGAGTTCAGATTTTTGTACCAAATATATAGTCTCCAATAAGCCATTGTTATAAGGTCCTCAGTCTGACGAGGTGATGGGGGAAAAAAATTTTTCTTTTTACTTCATGCGTTTGTTCCGGATGTAGGAGACAGATTACTCAAATCCCATCCTATGGGAATATCCAATTATTAATTTGCATAAAAGATACTGAGCCCATTGGAACCGACGTGGAAGACAGTAAAGTCCAGAAAACAATGTAAGGATGAGGTTGGCTCTGCCATAGTGTTCACTAATTTATTCATTAGTTTCCAGTTTCCACCTGTGCTTAAAACTTATCTAAATATATTTTGATTAATTACTTTAGAGAACAGATATAACCTTTTAGCACAACACCTGACATATGAGTGGTTCCTTGGATACTGGTTGTCACTAATAGTCTAAATCATCACAAATTATCAAATTATAAAAATAAAACATTCAGCAATAATTAGAAACTCCAGTAATGACAAAACAGGCAAAGAGTTCACTTGCTTATGTTAGTGACAGTAATTTCACAAAGAGGTATACAGGATCTCTAGGAGTCTTCTTATCTATTGCTGACTATGGGATAAAATATAAGGAAATATGGACAAATGTTGGTTCAGTCTTGACTGTAGCTAATTCTACTACCCAGTTAAAAAAATTCTTTTCCAAGATCACATCCATACATATCGCATATTATGAAATGATATTATGAAGAAGTAATGGGGGCCAAGAAGATATTTAACTGTTGATGACCTGCGGTAAGAGAGAGATTGGAGGAGAAAGACTGATTTCCTTTAAGAGAACTAACAGTATCTTTTAAATCAGGGAAATTTACTTGGGATACCATGAGGATGACCAAAAAAGAAGTGTTAACTTGAGCTAACAGCAGATTGTATGCTGTTTTGAACTGTATGCTAATAGTTATATTATTCCTAGGATAATACATCACCTTTTTCTTTTGCATATTATCCCAATGACAGTTGATCAAATCAGTTTTATTTAATTACACTGATATTTGCAATGATACAGACTACGTTACATGACTTTCATGTCTTCTTCCACAGTTTTGGTTTAAAAACTACAGAGCAAAACAGAAAAAATAGGGGTCTGAATGGTCCTTAAGAAAAGACCAAACCCAGGAACAGTGCCAGCATCAGCCTCCCACTCAAGGCAATAACCCACAGATCCAAATGCATTTCTTCAGTGGGTCCCGTTGAGAGTAAAAATGATTCCACGTGTTGTGTACAAATTCTCCACAAAAAGTCCCTATCTTTTTCGTACCCTCTCGCCATTTGTGGCACCCCCAAAAAATCTATAGACATGTCAAGTGTGTTCAGCTGAAGAGCAAAATCACCCCCATTGAACTCCTTCTACCTAAATTATGGGTATAGTGGTTTAACATATGTTAAATGTTCATACTAGGAAGCACAATCATAGGCTTATCAGCAGAGAAACCCTCAAAGACTTACTAACTCTTGTTCAGATTTATACAGGTGTATATAATAAGATTCTTGTATTCTATTCTTATGGACAGATCAGCAAAGAAGAGAAAAATGTCACCTTGGTCAAGAGTACTTGTTTGTTAATCCATTACTGTAATTAAAGGGATTTTAGAACATGAGCTTTTATCCAGTTTCAATTCATCTATTGCTTAGTGTGTTAGGACTTCAGTTGGGTTGTATGTTTATTTATATCTATATAACCGTCCTGATACTAAGGCCTATATTAATACTCCTTTGTCTTACACAGTATGAGAAACAGCCAGAATTGCTTGTCTTATGATGCCCATGTCTCCCCATTTTCCTCACTTACATGTGGTTTCAGGACCAAAGATGTCTATACCCAGAGCACAGCAGAAGTAGTAAGCCTATTCCTAGGTAGATGGCCCAAATGCAACACCAGATGTGACAGTTCAGCAGCACCAAATCAACCTGTCCACTCCCCCAGGCTGGTCTCATCATTTTCCTTCCTCCAATTCTTTCAGCAAGAACCAAACATCTCTACCTGCTCTATTCCCATCCTATATGTCCTTTGTCCCTTGTGTGAGACAAGGACCAAGTGTCATGATGGTATAGCCCATGCAGGCTGTGCAGGGAGGAGAGAACTCTCCCTCTACTCTGACACTTACAAACCACATGCCAATATCGCTGTCTCCAGATGGGGACCTCCCCAATATTCACACTACTTTCTGGCCCCAGAACAAAAACAAATGCCAGAATCTCAAAGAGCAGGCTGTTACAGAAGTACTACACTTGAAGGGCTATTCTCAGCCTCATCCTGAACACAAAAAACATCAATCACAGGATCTGGATCAGATGGACGCACCTCACATTATGCAATGGTGGGATAGGTGCTGCCAGGCTCTGACTGCAGAATGGGACCCTCAAGAAGAGACACGCTGACCCACACACCACACAAGTTCAGCTAGAGAACCATCTCATCACCCTGGCCAATTGCACCAACAGTATGTAAAAATCTCAAGCCTTTATTGTGTTTAAATTTTTTTTATTGTTCAATTACAGTTGTCCCCATTTCTCCCCCATTACTCTCCCCTGCCCTACCCACTCTCCCCACATTCAATCCTTCCCCTCCCCCATAGTCTTTGTCCATGGGTCCTTTATACATGTTTTTTGATTTGACCCTTCCCTTTCTTTTCATCATGACCCCTTTCCCCCTTCCCTCTGGTCACTGTCAGTTAGAAACCTCAAGCCTTTAGGTCAACTTCTACAGTCCCTAAATTTTCAGGAAAAGGTACCACCTTTTCTGAGTCCTAATCGCAGGAAAAGGACACTTCAGGATTCCAGCTGTGTCTCAGTGAAGATTTTCAGCTCTGCTCCACATGATGCAAAGCTCGTTTTCAGACGGAAGATGGCATCATTCTCACGGAACCTGGTCCAGGTCCCTTGTCTTTGGAGGCAGGATCAGTGCAATTTAAAGTATGACAAATAATTAAGTCATCCTGTTCAAGACAAGACTAATGCAGGGGGGAGGAGAAACCACTTGGAAACCCAAATAAAGGTTTTACTCTGTGTTGTGGGCAGTGGTTATTTTCTGTACTCACTTCACTGAATAAAGGATTGTTTCCAAACACCATACTGGCTCTGGAAGTACCCTGAGCATGAGGCAGTGGACACATCTGCTGAATCCTTCTGAACAAAAGCATTTTACTGACAAATGTGACCTCTTCTACGTAATCACCACACCCTCCTGTGCCTGGAATATCTACAAACTGTAACGAAAGCCAAGTGAGAACAGGTCTACAAGGGACACATCGACACTTCTTTCCATTCCGGCAAAATGAGAAGGCAAACTTAGTTTGTCATGCAGAAAATGAAGAGGTGTGGTATTTCCTAATCTAAGTTCATAAAACTGAGTTTTTTCCTGAAGCTCTGAGGGTTTGAATTAGGAACCATGAAAAGGGAATGATTACATGATAGGATAGATCCATAATACTATTTTTCATGTATATTTTTCCTTTCACTAATATACCAAATTACAAGGAAAATATACTAACACCACATAGTCATTGATATGGTCTAATGCTCATTATTTGAGATTTTTAGGTTTTTCATATATATTCACATACATGTATATATAGAGATATATAGATATATATCTCTATATAATCTATATATCTCCATAAAATTCACTTTATTATAAACAATAGGTTAATCTAAAAACTGGAAAACCATCCTCTTTTCTTTTTTTAAATTATATTTTACTGATTATGCTATTACAGTTGTCCCAATTTTTCCCCTTTTGCTTCCCTCCACCAGGCACCCCCAACTCCCTCAGGCCATGCCCACACCTTTGTTCATGCCCATTGGCCATTCATATGGAAAAGACACTATTAACAGCTTGAGTGGGCCCACTAGTTGGGAGGGGAAGAGCCTCAGGGGATCTCCAGAGTGGTGCTTACAGTGTTAGGCAGGTTGATGGAGTCTCAAATATAACACCTGCCAGCTGGGGTGGGCGGCGCGGGGGCGGGGGCGGGGGCGCCTCAGGAAAAGTACAATGGCCCCATCTGCCTTTCTGTCTGGGCAAAGCTATGCCCTGGCTCTCACCTCAATGTCAGATACTCCAGCTTCTCCCCATATGGTATTGGTGCCTTTCAAGCTGCTACCCCTGTGCTGGAGCTCAGAGGGCGTGAGTCTGAGTGTCTCCGTGTGGGTCCTTTAAGAACTGCTTGAGACTCCAGAAGCTTCTTCCACCAACTCAATCCCTGCTGGATTTTCCATCCAGGAGTTATGGAGACTTATCTTCCTGGCATTGGAACCCTGGGCTGGGGGGGCCTGGTGTGGGGCTAGGACTCCTCACACCTGAAAAATCCCTCCTGAATTTTTATCCACCAGACATGGGTGTGGGACCTGCCTGTTTCATGTCCCCACATCTCTGCCCCTCCTACTGGTGTGATGGATGTGGTTTCTTTGATTCTGTAGTTGTCAAACTTCCATTAAACTCAATTTCTGATGGTTCTGAGTGATGGTGATTCTGTAGTTTAGTTGTAATTTTGATGTGGTTGTGAGGGGAGGTGAGCCATGTTTACCTACATCTCCACCCTGACTGGAAGTCCTCACTCTTTCCCCTTCTTTTGAAATACTAACTTCTAAAAATAGATTTTGGTGTATGAAGGCATATTTGGGTTTATTCTGATACAATAAAAGTATCTTTGAAAAGTATTTCTTCTTTGTTCATTTTATCAGTTTGCATTCTTTTGTTCATTTACTTCCCACGTGATGGTATGGAATGAGTTCAATATATACATGTAGACATCCTTACTAGTGCATTATGTGCAAGAGTATCTCTAGATGTTTATACTTTAAAGCACAAGTGTCAGAATATTGCAGTATCGATTTCTGTCATCAAATTACATTCAGCCCAAGTTATTTTTCCTAGTATTAACTGTACTTTCATTATCACCTAGGAAATAAAACTCACATGCATATGTATGCACACAGACACATATAGTGGCAAGTGGCACTAATCTACCAAAAAAGAAAAAAAGATCTGATATAATTATTTGACAGTGTTGATTTGGTATCATGCACAGTTGAGCAGCTTAAACAACAAAAACTTATTTTCTCACACTTCTCAAGAATGGAATTCCAAGCTCAAAGTGTCTACAGGTGTGGTTTCTTCTGAAGCCTCTCTTTGCTATGCTGATGACCATTTTCTCCTTGTGTCCTTAAATGGCGTTTCCTGTGTGTATACATCCCCTGTATGTCGGTGTATCCAAATTTCCTCTTTTTCAATTTCATTTTCTTAGGTTCAAGTGCATTGGCTTTGGCTTAAGTTTTAATTTGTTTACGATGGTACCAAAGCCACCCCAATCTAATCGCTTCCTTTTTTAACTACTTTAAAAGGTATAAGACACTATTTTCAAAAAGTTTTCACTGCCCGTTTTACTTATTTTTACCTATTGATTTGAGAGAGAGGAAAGTATCTATTTGTTTTTCCACTTATTTATGCATTCATTGGTTGCTTCTTGTACATGCCCTGACTGGAGATCAAACCCGCAACCTTGGTGTTTGGCCCCAACAGCAAGGTATCGGGACACTGCTTAACTGGGCTACCCAGCCAGAGACTCCACTGCCTGGCTTAAAATGTTAGAAGATAATTTGATTTACTTAATTCTGCACTGTGGACAATAGCTATCAATTAAATACATAAACCATCAGACAGAATAATCATCAGCAAGGTTCTCTGCAGAGCCCAGGTGAGCTCTTCAAATATTTGCACACAAATATATGACCTCATGCCTGAGGCAGACCCAGGTGGCAAGTGATGAGCTCAGACAACACCTGATACATTCCCCAGAAAGATCCCAGCGCTAGTAAATTATTAAAACTGAAAGCTGCAGGTAGAAAAATCAAAAGAACTAGGGAAAGCTCTCCTTATTGACAGACACAACTATAGTGGAAGCTGTAAACCCTAAGAGGAAGAGACCAGGAAGTTAAGCAGAGTAGGTTTCAAGGTGATGATTATTGATGGAAAAGCATAAATCGTATTTGCTGTAATTGTGTATGCTTAGGAAGCAAAATAAAAACCCTAACTCCCTGACTTTTGTTTGGCTATCCACCCTCCCCTTTCAGGCCACCTTCCCAGGAAAGGTTACACAATCAGCCCAAGGAGGATAGGCCTTGATCTATCTCTGCCAAATCAATTTCATTCAGGAAGAGTTAGGAAGGGACATGTGCCATAATTCTGGCCAATGAGAAATCTGGGAGGGGCTTCTGGGAAAGGTTGCCCACCAAGAAAACACCTGGAGGAAATCCTGTTTTGCTGTTGGAATTGTAGTAGCCACCTTTCAACCACAAGGGGAGCAGCCCACAAGATAAGCTAAAAATGGCAAAGGAGAAAAACAGAACCCCAAAGACACCCTACCCGAGGACTTCTTGTTATAAACACAAGATATAAATCCCCTTATGGTTTCAAGTCCTTTGACTTGTTTTCTGTTACATGCAACTAAATACATCTTACTCACATAGGCAGGTGGGCATGTATCCAGCAAATAGCATTAGATCAAAAACGAGAATAACAACAATTCAACAGCAACTTAAACTTTTTTTTTTATTTTATTTATTGATGTTAGAGAGAGAGTGGGGGGTGGGGAGAAACATCAGTTTGTTATTCTAATCATTTATGCATTTGTTGGTTGATTCTTGTACACTCCCTGACTGGGAATCAACCTGCAGCCTTGGCATATTGGGACAATGCTCAAACCAAGTGAGCTACTGGCCAGGTCTGCACCTTAAACTTTTACAACTCAATTGCTCTCCTTAAAAGGAATAGAAAAAAGAGGAAAATGACCAGGAGCAAAACCCACTGCTGCAGGGAAAAGGGAGATGAAAAGGAAATGCTTCTTACACTAATGAAGCATTAGTGTAATACTTCACTAATGAAGTTGTACAAGTTATTTAAGGCCTAGAAAATTTCAAAAGCTGAAGTATGGGGTCAGCTGGTGGGGTGGTGGGGGAGAACAGTAAGCAAGGCCCAATAAGTAAGAAATGATGTCTCCCAAGGCACAAGCAGAAAAGTGAGCTCTGGTTCATGAAGTCAAAAAAAGAACCCAACTCAAGGGAGAGGTATCCCAACTTCAGGACTTGAACAGCTTATCTTTGGGAGTCAATGCAGCCATAGCTCAATGCCATTAACCATTTAGATCCAACTGTTTCCTTGCTTATTATCTGTGCTGCCAAAAATAATTCTCATAATTATTTCCCCACATATATCTCCCAGTCCAAGAAATGAAATGACCAGAGAAATTATAAAACCAGGTATTTTGAAAGTTAGTAGTTTATTCCGAGCACTAAAAGTTGGTGTGTGCTTGGTTTAAACACCTCTTGGGAGTATGGTTGTAATAAATAAACCAGACCCTTTTTCGCCTTTGACAAAACTGTAATTTCTAGTCCTGTAAAGTCAGTATGCTGTGGTATCTTTATTATGGTATAGATATTCTAGATGACATCAAATGCCCACCACCCAAGCATTCCCATTTAAGAATTACCACTGTAACGAGCTAGTTACTACTGGGAATCGTTTACCGTCCAACATACTAAGAAACATGGAAAAGTTAAGCACTTTGATTTAGGCTGAGAAGCCACAGAAGCAGACTCTAAAGACAGAACTTGCATGCTTCAAGGATGCACTAGTAGGGAGGGGGGATGTGAGACAAGAGAAGGAGGCCTATGCAGAATGAATTCATAAACCAATTACCACTGCGAAGAACTATGTTTATGTCTACTGGGGACCTTTGAAAGATGGCATGAAAACCATTATCCAACTCATGCATGGGGTAATTTTCAAATACGTCTTCAGTTGTGTCATTTTCCTGGTCAGCAAGGAAGCAGAGTATACATCCTTAAATTCCCATGTACCACTAGCTGAAAGCCAGCCAATCCACAGCACTTCAAGGAGAGAGAAAGCCTCAAGCAGGTGCTTGCAGGACTTCTGTTGGTGGTATGTACTGGAATGGTGACTGCCTACGAGTAGCACACTGACACCTCCTGTTACACACCTCATGGTTCCTGATTGTTCCTGACTGGCTTCTCTCCCTTTGGCTCTCAGCAATTTACTGTGTTTTGCCATCTTTCATAGTCCTTCCAGAAGAATTAGCTCCATCCAGAAGAATTCGCATCTTTCTAATGGCCTATTAGTTCCAAAATGGAAGTGCTTTATTGATTATTCATCTAATTAATAATAGGCAAAAATGTCAGTTCCTTTATGGTGTTTAAAGTTTTTGTGAATACAATTAAACACTTGTTGGAGACTCAAATACAAAGTTCCATTTATTTTCAATAACAAAAGCAACACAACAAAGAGGAGTCAGTCAACCAACTAATTTTTTAATCTAACACAGCCTTAGCACAAAACTATCCTCAATAAATAAAAACATATTACTAATATCCAAGTGAGACTGTTCTTGAGACTCTGTAGGATTTTGTGTGTATTTTAAACAAAACTGGGTGGTAATTAAAGCAGCACAAGCTAGGTACTTGACTGTTAGGACTCGAAAGAACAGCCAAGGAGCAGGGTCCCCAAATATTGTTAGCAAAGGAAACGTAGGGTTTTCAAAGCAGTTTAGAAACTAGAGCTCCCTAGGGGATACAAGGGTATGGGATGGTCCACGTTCAAGGGCTGGCAATGAAATCTTTCCATAATTCTAGATTCTTGATTTAGAATCTATCACAATCTAGAGGAGTTTCAGCCAAAGGATAGGAGGCTCTTTATTCATACTTCCTGAAAAGACCTGTCTTCTAAATCTCCTCTGACTTGGTCACTAGTTCCTGTCACCAGTATAGTAGAGGTTCCATTCCAAAAAAAGATTACTATGTAGACCAACCTCTCTCTGGTTTATATTTTCCTTTCAGAAACACACTGATACTGCCAGGGACAGATCTAAATATATCCAAATATCTTTTATTTTTATCCCCCTATACAACTCTGCGTAGCTACAAAATCTAGGACTCACAGAGTAATGACGACATTGGTCAGAAGACAAGTTTCTAAGTTCCAATATAAGAATCTCTGAAGTTCAATGGTCACAAAATTTTTTTTACCACCTCATCTGCCTCATCTTTTCTCTTTTCTTTATTATCTTGTGAATTATTTCTTTCGGAATTCAATCCTCCGAGCTACATTCTGAGCTCCAAACTTTTTAACCAATGCATTTCGGGTATCCTCATCATCTTTTTGCAAATCTAAGTCATCTTGTCGGGACCAAATAGGATACCCATCAGCCCTCTGACCAGACTCTAAAAAAGAGGTTGTAGCCTCTAGCTCACCGCTATTTTTTAGGAAGGCCTGTGTAACTGTAGACAGATCCAAGTTAAACTTTTCCATTAACTGCCGGATGACCTTAATGGCAGCTCCCACCTCTGGTGGAGAAACTTTTTCTTCTTCTTCTTCCTCGTCAGGCTGTGTTTCTGAGTCTTCCTCAGGTGTAGGTGGATCATCATCACACATTGTTATGTGTATCTCAAAATCAGGGCTTTCCTCCACCTAGAGGAAGTGATGAATAAAACCAGTCTAATTACACAGTTACACTCTTACTCTTATAATATCTGGTCTCTCCCAACTACCACCTCCTTGTCCTTTGTACTCCAATCACACTAGACTTCCTTCAGTTCCTCTAACATGCCATGTTCTGTCTTACATTTATTTGTCTTGGATGTGTGTGTGTGTGCGCGTGCACATGCGCGTGCAATGGGGTAAGGAAGAGTGTGTGTGCAGGTGGACTGCATGTGTGTGCACACATGCACATATTTGTGTATGTATATGTATAATTAACTATGATATTCCAATAAAACATTTGAAGCTACACTAAATATGAAAAAAAATACATATATGCATATATATGTGTACATGTCTGTATTAGACTATTAAAAGTATGGCTTCTTTCCCAGATTGTAAGCTCCTTAATAACAGATACTGTATGTTTTGCTTATCATTACATCCCTAGTACCTACCAATGACTCCACATAATAAGTACTCAAAAAACATGCTGTACTCGGGCCTGCAAGCTATACTAGATTTAGGCACATTACAAAGCATGTTACATGAGAAGAGACCTATGTAGGCCATGTTTGAAAGCTGTTGAGAGCATCTGGAAATTTATGGAAAATGAATCTAGTATCAAATAATAAAACTCAGATTACAAAAGGCAAAAATCCCTGAATGTCTGCGCATTCCTTCTCTTACCAATTACTTCATTTTCCTGGGTTACACTGAAGCCTAACCATTTTTCTTTGTGTTAATAAAAAAAATTAATTCAAAAGATCTTTTTTCTTGGAGAAGATATGCACATATAATTTGGCTTGTTGTTTTTTTTCCCCAATTACTCCCCATTATTTTACGGCCCCTGCCTTTCTCTACAACAGTGGTTCAACAGGGGATTCCAACAGAGTATTAGAAGATAGACTGAATGTAGAAAAGCTAAAAATTTCCCACAAAGCTCTAAAGACACAAAAAGCTAAATTTGCTTGGTTAAAAGTAAAATTATTCTTTTAATAAAGCATAAAAACATTTTTAAAAGGTAAACCCATTCTTAACTTTGAAAAACATATACTGAGATCAAAGTACTCAAAATGGAACCCTTTATACTGTTTAAGAGTAATTCTCCCCAACTTTTTAATTCTCACCCACTCAATCTCTCCTGCCAAAAACTAAAAGCTACATGCCTAGAACCTAGGTCAGTCCCACTTTCCACTCTTGTTCCATCTTAAACTTCTCTTACCTTCCAGGCCTGTGGTGTATAAAAAGGGTAGATGGGATGACCAATTTCAAAGAAGAATGGGAGTACAAAAAAAAAATCAGTTAAATCTAGTTAACGTACCACAACCTCCTCAAATTCCCGGGTGGCTTCTACAAGCATCTTTTTGACTGCTTCTTCATTCTCCTTGATCTCTTCCTTTACAAATTCTTCTTCAGGCAAATCTGGAGTTCTCTTATTCTGTGGTTCTATTACAGAGAAGAACAGCACTAGATTAGAATGGGCCTCTATTACAAAAAAATATATAACGCATGCTTTGTGAGCTCTGGACCAAAGGTGAGCCTGTATTTTTTTTCCATTAGAAGGCATGTTTTTGATCAAAAAGATAAGAAAAACATAACATATGCATGCTCAATAATTTCTACTCTTGCTTCTGAAAAGTTTTACCATCCAGTGATAATTTTTCTAGGTTCTGATATGTAAAATAAAAATACTCTTCAAACTTAATTTATTTTTGCCTTGTATTGATGAATTTGATAATTAAAACTGTAGAATAAATTGAGTTCTCTGGGAAGCAGATCCCGAGATGAAGGTTGCTATGTAAGGCATTCATTAGGGAGTGTGCCTGGGAAAACCCCCACTGAAGAGAAGCAGGATGGGCAGATAAAGGTTAAGCTCTAAAAGAGTACCAACAAGGCCTCAACTGAAGCTAAAAAGGTCCTTCAGAGTTGACCCAGCTGGGGCAAGGGAGCCAAGATTTTACAGCTGTATAGAGATCAGCCACTGGACACTAGTCACCCTGAAATGACAGGACTTTGGGCAAGGCAGCTCTCCCAGCCAGTGAAGACAGGTCTGGGCAGAAGGGATATACCATAATCTACCATATACCATCAACACAAAGACCCCCTAAAGCTAAACATCCTCTTGATTCACCTTTATTCTTTGTTCTCCAAGAATTTTAGTTTGCTCTCTTTTCCATGTAACAAAAACAGACTACTAAGGGGCAGAATGAAGGAGTCTTTTGTAATGAAACAGTTCTGTATCCTGATTTTTGGATATAAAATCTGTACACGTATTAAAACACATAATGCAAAATGGTATGGCAGTTCCCCAAAATATTAAATATAAAATTACCATATGAATCAGCAATCCCACTTCTGGATTTTTACCGCCCCAAAAATGAAAGCAGGATCTCAAACAAATACTACTATACTTGTATTCATAGCAGCATTATTCACAATAGCCAAGAGACAGAAACAACCCAATTGTCCATCAATGAATGAACAGATAAACAAAAAGTGGTATAGACATGTGGAATATTATTCAGTCTTAAAAAAGTGAAATTCTGACACATTATGCTAAGTGAAATAAGCCAGACACAAAAGGACAAATGTTGTTTGATTCCACTTATATAGGGTACCTAGAGAGATCAAATTCATAGACAAAAAGTAGAATGCTCTTTGTCAAGGGCTGGGGGGAGGAAGAACTGGGAAGCTGGTGTTTAATGAACAGTTTCAGTTTTAGAAAATCAGAAAGTTCTGGAAATGGATGGTGGTGATGGCTGCCTGGCAGTATGAATATACTTAATGCCACTGAACACCTAAAACTGGCCAAATGGTTAAGTTTTATGTAATGTATATTTTACCACAATAAAAAATAAATTTTTAAAATGTATGAACTATAAACAAAAATAAGTCAATTTTCTTTATATAAACTTTTTTTTAAGTCTTATCTTTTAGAGATATTTGCTGAAATAGATAAAATGGTATATCTGGCATTTGCTTCAAAATAATTCCAAAAGAGGGGACTGAAAGGAATAGATATAAAAAAAACTGACCATCAACTATAATTAGGTGAAGCTGGGTAATGGGAACATGCTGTTCATTATACTACTTTTGTTTCAAATTTTCTACAATAAATGAACAAATTATGGTTCAATCACATAATGAAATGCAATCAATAAGGAAAGAATGAGGCAAAGCAATGCACGGACACAAAGACTTCAAGATCTAGCATTAAGTTAAGAAAAAGCAAACTGCAGAACTGAATTCTAGTGCGTTAGCCTTATTACGTACAAAAAAGACCCATAACAAGGACGGTTGCAGTGGCCGCCTGAGAGAGGAACCAGGGGAAAGGGTATGTAGCAGGGAGACTCACTTTTCACTATGTACTCTTTTCTATGTACACTGAATATAACTGTAGGATAAATTCCTGGAAGCAATATTGCCATGTTTAAGGAAATATACAATTTAAACTTCGTTAGATGTTTTCAAAATGCCCTCCAAAGAAATAGTACCAATTTCCTTCTATTAATGTAGGAGTGTACTTGTTTTCATATACCTTATTAACTTTATCCATTTTGTTAATTTTTGCCAATTTGATACATAAAATATGATATTTCCTTGCTCTGATTTCCTTTTATTTTTTTAAAAAGACAAACAAAAAGACAAAAACAATACATTTATTATTTAATAGTTTCCACAGGTCAGAAGTCCAGACATGGGTTATCTGGTCCTTTGTTCAGGATCTAATTTACTTTTATTTAATAACAACATTTCTGTATTTGTTTATTGGCCATTTACTTCCTTTTCTGGAAACTTCTTGTTCCATTTCCTTTGCTCATTTCTCTACTATTTTTTTTCTTTTAGCTATTAACTTCTGGTGTTTGGACATTAAGGAAACTAACTCCGTTGCAATGTATTGAGACTATTTTTCCAGTTTGCCCTCTGACTTTGTCAGGAGAAGCTTTTAATGTTAAGTAATCAAACGGAAAACTTTTTCTTACTCTTCTTGGTTTCAGGATTATCACCAAGCTAATATTAAAAAATAAATTTACATTTATTCTTAGTCACTTTAGGATTTTAATTTTTACATTTACATATCTAATCATCAAAACACCATTCTGAGTTGGGTGGATCTAGGCTAATTTTGTCCCAAGTCACAAGTAGCTTGCCAGTAGTCCCTACAGGATCTACTTCACCCATACACCCAGCCCTGTCCTCTCTCCTAGAATTCAGAGAATTCCAGGAATTCTTATTCCACTGCAGCCAAACTGATCTCTTTGTTGCTCCAAGAACAGATCTCCACCTCAGGGCCTTTGCACTTATTGACTCTATCTGGAACACTTTCTCAGATAACCACCTGGCATACTTTCATTTCCTTTGGTTGCTGCTCAAATACCAGCTTATCATAGTAACCTTCCCTACAAAAGTACCCTACAAAAAGTGACCTCCTCCCCAACCTTTACCCTGATTTTTCTCTATAGCACTTACCACTTCCCAGCTAGCATGTTAAGCTCCATGACCACAGGGACTTTTACTTATTGTTACATCCCAGCAGGATAACAGTGTCTGGCACTCAAATATCTGTTGGATGAATAAATCTGAAATGTCACTTTTACCAAAAACAAAATTCCTACTATGCATACTGAACAGGAGAAATAGACTTTACCTCCCCAGACTTCAACTGTTACAAGGAATAGTCACATAAGGAAAAGCAGGGAAGGGGCGGGGCGGGGGGGCGGGGGGGGGGGGGACAGCGGGAAGCATGCCTCTTTAAAAAAAACAAAGAGGGGGGGAGTCTGTCAATTTGACATGTCAGTAGCCATTATTAGGTAAAAGGAAGCATCTTAAAAGCTTTGTATTGAGTACTAACCACACCTGAATCTCAATATTCGATTCAACTGCATTAAAAACTCACTTCACCCATGAAACCAGGTAGCAACTTCCAATTGACCAGAACCCACTTGTGTGAATGTGCAATTAAACCAAAACATGAAAATAAACTGATCTGGCATGCCTTTAAAATGGTTTATACTGAATCTACCTGAACATAAGAGAAATATTTTTTAAAATTGGTGGTTGCCAGAGGGGAGGGGAACGGGAGGCACAGGCGAAATAGATGAGAGAAATTAAGAGGTTCAAAAGTCAGTCACCAGGATGTAATGTACAGCACAGGGCAGCTATTTTCAACCTTTTTCATCTCATGGCACATGTAAACTAATTACTAAAATTCTGCAGCACACCAAAAGGTTACATTTTACAATTATAGATATACATATATTTTGTCATATAATTAATTATAGGTATGATTTTGATTCATTCACACCCATTGGCTATTGCTGTGGCTATTACTAAGTTTAGCAATTAGTTTACATGTGCCATGTAAAAATATAGTATAATTTTATAATAGGTATATATAACTTTAAGTTATATATAATAAACAACTTTAAATGTAACAAATTTAAATATATTTTAATTATATCTTAATTTCTATTTTAAATATAGCAAATAATAACTTTAAAAATAGATGTAATTTTTATTCATTCACACTCGTTGGCTATTGCTGTTGGCTGTTGCCATTTTTTTAATTTCACAAAGGGAAAAAGAGGTCAGTGCCCCTGACTAGTCAGAAATTGTTTTAAAAATTCTTGTGGCACACCAGCGCGCCCACAAGGGTTGAAAATCGCTAACATAGGCAATATAGTCAATAATGTAACTTTGGCCCTGGCCCGTGTGGCTCCGTGGGTTGGTGCGCGCAGACAGGGTCACAGGCTGGATTCCCAAGCAGGGCACGCCCCGGGACTGCTGGGCTCGCTCTCCCCCACCTGCTGCGTGGGAGAGGCGACCCTTCCACGTTTCTCACCCTCCCGCTCTCTAAAAGTAATAACAACAACTCTGTACGGTGACAGAGGATGACTAGGCGTATTAAGATAAAAGTAGGATGAGTCTCTGAAATAACTTTTAAAACACACTCAAGAAGCTGGTTATCCACATTGCCTCTGGGAAAGGAAACTGGACAGCTAGCTGGTGGATAGGAGAGAATTTTATAGGACTCTTTGTACCATTTGAATATCAAACCACGGCGATATCCTGGTTATTGGAAAAGGAAATTGAAGAAGTTAGGAAATGGTGCGATTTTACCCCGATGTCACAGAGGGGAGGGGCCCGAGGATGATACCAAAGAAGCCAAAATGGACGCCAGACAGGAAGGGGGTGAGACGACCCGCCACCAACACAGGTGCAGGTAGAGGGGCCACACGTCGCAGCAGCAGGCCTCACCCCCGCTATCGGCAGCCTCCGGGTCTTCCTCAGCTTTCCGCTTGAGTTTCTGGGAGGACGGGCTCACTGGGGCGTCCCCCAACATGTACTTATGCTCCTGGCCCCGCAGGTGCTTTAAGTAGCGGTCCTTCAGGGACTGCCACGAGTGCTGAGTGAGCGCGCTTTTCTCCATCGCTTTCCACAAGGCGTTGCCCGTGACAGAGCTGGTCGAGCGGGCATTTTCCTTTACATAGGTCAAGATGGCCACGTCGTCCGCATCCGTGAAGGCGATCCGCCCCGTGAGCTGCTGCCGCTCTGGCTCGGCGGCAGCGCTCTCAGCCTGAGCCCCGGGCTTCGTTTCTGGTGCCTGGTCGGCTCCCGGGGCCAGGCCCAGCCGATAGGCCTCCAACTCGAGCCTCTCGTTGCGCTCCACGCAGTCTAGAATGTACTGCGTGGAGATGAAGTCGCCCGAGGCCTCGACAGCCGCTTCCCCGGGCTGGGCCAGCAGCACGGCCCCAGGCTCCTGCACCCGGCACAAGGTGCCGCCGCCGTGCAGGATGAGCGTGGAGAGCCGGCGTTTCGCCGGACTGGGACGCACATAGAAGGACATGGAGCTGCCATCTTCCCTCACGAACAGAGTCGAGGAATGAGTGGGCCCGTTGGGGTCTTTGCCCAGATCCATTGCCTCCGCCATAGCTGATGCCAGAAACCGGGAGAAGTAGCGTCTGGCGCACTGAGACCTGAGTGAGCTGAGATGCGGCTCCGAAGCCGCGACTACTGCCCCTGCGCCGCCCTGCGTGGCGGCACACTTCGCCGACCCTGCGCGGCGGCAGCGCACCGAGCACCGCCCCCTCTTCCCGGAAGAGGCGGGGCTTCCGACCTTGACCTGGAAATCGCGGCACGCTTCTGATTCCTTTCAGTTTGGGCCTCGGGAGACATGGCCACGGTGCAGGGACCTGAAGTGAATGTGGACGGTGGCGAGGAAAAACTGAGCAAAAAGTAAGTGTCGCTGCGGTCCCTAAGGCCTTTGCAGCTGGCACGTCCGGACTAGGAAGTGCCTCTAGGCTCCGGCCGAGGCGGCTATGCCTGCGGCCTTTTGCTGGTTCTCGTGGGTGCAGACCTGCCGGGACTTAGCCGCTAGGCCCGGAGACTACATGCCCCAACGTGCTACGGGGCCTGGGGCCGGTGGAGTCCCCACCTGTTGGACTCCTGGGATAGGAGAAGGTTGATGGGAGGAAAATAGGGACAAATGTAATTGAACAATAAGAAAAAGAAAAAGGGTTCCCTTCCATAACTCAGCTGGTAGGTGTGGTTTCCTTTCCAGAAAAAGAAAAAAAAGGCGGCCGAGAACTGAGAGGTGATAGGAAGGTGAAACAGTCGTTCTGAGAAATGCTTTTAATATTGAGCAACGCCCCAATAAGAAGGCTGGAGAAATGTTAATTTAAATACACTAGCTTTCCAGAAAGATCTTAATTTTCCTTGGTCTCACTAAGGCTATTCTGATGAACCTTATGTATTGGGTCGACCAAAAAGTCCGTTTAGTTTTTTCTGTAAAATAAGACATTTTTTATTTTCATCAATAACTTTATTGATTTGGACATTTTGAGTCTGTGGGCTTCCTGCTGTTGACTTTTAGTGGATAGAGGCCAGTGCCGCTGCTAAATATCTTCCAATGCATAAGACAGCCCTACAGCAAAAAATTATTTGGCCAAAATGGCAATAGTAACAAGAAACTTAACAAAACCACTTTTGACATGTTCCATCAGTCACAGCACCTTCTCAGTACCTTGCACAAATCTTGTGTGTGTGTGTTTCACTTGGGTTTTTACCTTCCTTGAAATAGTAAAGCATAATCTGAAAATGTTGCTTATTTTCTTCCTTCAGTATTAAAATGGCTGCACAAAAATTCACCAGTTTTTCTTTTTAATTACAGCTGTCACAATACAAAAAGTTGTTTCAAACACAATTAAAGACAACTAAGCACTACTAGAACCAACATATGGAAAAAACTAAACATACTTTGTAGCCAACTCAATGTTAAAGCAATCAGTTTTATCCTATCCACATGGGTTATTCAAAAGGCCTGTGAGTATTGAGGGAGTGACTAATGTCTAGCAGCAGGGACTCTTATACAGCAGGGTACACCACGCTGCATTTAGCATTGCTGGGTATAACTTCGTTAATCACCCCAAATCCTTGGAATGTAAAGGTAAATATAAATAAATCAAGATTAGCTGACCTTTTTAACTGTCATATATTCTCTACATACTACACTCTCTCTTAACCAGGGTTCTTCACAGAACATTGACAGTGATTTGAGTGACTTTTCTCAGTATTCCCAAGGATGGTACATAGAATAAATAGAACCATTCCAGAGGCATAGAAGAGAAGTTAATTCATTACATGTAATGGCTGCTTTAGTGCATTAGGGCTCAATTCTCTTGCTGAGCCCTGATGGAACTGCACTCGACTAATAAAAATTGATGTTTCCTTTGTGTCTCTGGGTTTATTCTGTAAATATTCTTAAAAAAATGAAAAAGGAAATACCTAAGTTTATGGTGTGATAACACCCTAATATGTTGTCCTGAGCATGTCTGATGGATCTCTAATGTTTGGAACCCGGTCTTTGACTTCTGCCTTTGGGAAGATTGGCCTTTAATCTGTTAAATCAGTAATTGAACTTTAGGCTTGTAAATCACAGATACCTCCTAAGCACGGCCTCCAGTTGAAAGTATGATTTAAAGGTAAATTGAGGAAACTGGCCAGTTCCTTTCTACTGACTTTTCTTAGATTAACCATAGCTACCACTTTTTAAAGCAGCTTTTATGTGTCAGTCACTGTGCTGGAACTATATATACTTTTTGTCTAATCTCAATAATAAACTTGCAAGTGTCCACCTTTCAATTTAATAGACTGAGACTCTGGGTGATTACCTACATTGCTAAAGTGTGCATACCTAAAGTCTGGTCTATCATCGATCTGAAGCAGAGATCTGAAATCAGACTCCCATACCTCCACAACCCAAGTTCTTTATACTGACTGCCCCATACCTCACGTTGTCTAAAAGACTCTGCTGTTGATAGTACGTATTTCTCTAGTGACCATGGGCTAAATAATTTCATTGATATTTTCTTCTATTATTCTTTTTGGAACTTCCTTGGCCTGAATCTTTAGTGAGCACCATTTTGTGCCAGTTATTTTCTAAGTTTAAAAATATGACTTGGGGCTGCCTGTCAGGTGACTCATTTCCAAATAAATGGCCAAGTTTGTTTGAGTGCAGTAAGAACATGATCCCTGTAATTCTGTCGCCTTTCCGGTATTAACATATAACCATAGTGCAGTTTAAGACCCTTCCCGAAATTCCCCTTTCCGCCTTATTCTTAGAGCTCCAAACAAGTCTTTACCTTGACTCAGAGGTGCTTTTGTGTGGCTTGCTTTTAGCTTCATTTAGAGTTTGCAGTTGACAGTGACATTTTATGTGCTTTCCAGTGCCAAGAAAGAAAACCACATCAGGGGCTTCAGAAACACTGCTTTAGATCCTGTCTCCCATTTTCGAGAATGTTTTGATCCTTTCTATCTGTAAGCTATTGATTTACTTGCTGTTGACTTTTGACCCTTGATATGTGTCTTTTTACCATAGCCAGGACTGAGAAAACTGTTGGTTCCAGTTGCAGCAGAGTGAGTGTTAGAGGTTGCTGTCCTTTAAGTATAATGGGACAGTAAAAGGTTTTGCAGCCTCCCCCTCCCCCAACCCATAAGAGTAGGAGTGCTGGTTGGATTTACATATACTGTCTGTCCCATCTGACACCGCATCTCTGTGTTTCCTGTTAGGTGGTGGTAATCATTAGTTCCAGGGTGTTCTGCCATGTTGACGCAAGCTGCTGTAAGGCTTGTTAGGGGGTCCCTGCGCCAAACCTCCTGGGCACAGTGGGGGCAGAGGGAGCTGCGACTGGGTCCACTTGCTCCTTTCACAGCGCTTCACAAGGACAAGCCACTTTCTAATAAAAGAAGGTTGGTGCCCATTACCTTCTTTGTCGTTCTGGGAGCAAAAGTCCTCCCCTTACTTAGGTCCTTTCTGTTAAGCCTCTGGCTAAGTCTTTGGCCTAGTTGCTAAGGAAACAGAAAGCCCTACTACCAAAAAACATTCCTTTCACATTTTCTCTTTAATAAATTCACATTTCCTGTCCTTAAATTCTTCAGATAACTTGTGGTTCTTACTCTAGAACAATGCTAAAACAAACCCCTTGTATGAATAAAGAATTTTTGGTTCAGGATGTTTTCCCTTTCCTGTCTTTCTGGAATTTGCTGGTGAGATTAATTTGGTTTCCAGTCTTATTTCCATCACCAGGACCTTTTGGGATTATCTTTAGGATTGATTTGATTTAAAGAGCAACACATAGTCGAATGGGTTTATTATATTAATGCTAGGAAAAACTAGGACTACCTGATCCCGGACTGAATTATAGCACAGTAGGCTTGGCACACTATTAACACTGATGATTTAAAAGAATGATCAATTTTATTTGAACAATGAGGGGATCTCTCTCGACCCAAATCTGTTTGATTTCTGGGTTCACATAGCAAAGTTTCAGATCATAAGAGATACCAAGTTAATGTGAATTGCATTACTTTTTGAGTCTCAGATGACAAGTGCCAAGAGTGAGTAGTGAGGAATTTGACCAAAGCTGTAAGGTTTCCGTCCTGAGTAGAGAGAGTAAAGGGGTAAGAGAGTGAGGGACACCTGTAAGAGCTCACATTTGCATGCTTACTGTATGCTAGGGACAGGGTCGTCTCTTTACATACATTATCTCAATCCTCACAAATAACACTGGGGAGTAGGGGCTGTCTGTTTTCCATTTTACAAGATGGAGTAAAGTTAAGTGACTAGTCCAAGATCGCATAATTTATAGGTAGGTGTGTCAGAATTTAGTTTCAGGAAGTCTGGCTCCAAAATGGTATATTACCCGCTATGCTATGCCACTTTGTATACTGTTCTATCCAGTTTATTGTCAGAGCCAGGCTTCAGTGGGCACTAATGAATGCTGAAGGCCATTGTCAATGCATTGATCAATGCTGAGGGAGAAATTATCAGTGGATTGTCTCCTTGAACTCTGAAAAGCCACCCTTTCCCACTCCAGACTAGTCCACTCCTTGGAGTGGTCAGGAGGGGTAGCAGGCTGGAGATGTTGCCTTACCATATCAGGTCTGGTACTCATGGAACTTCATATTCTACAAAGGATAGATACTAGACAACTAAAATGCCTTCTACCACTGACTTGGTGGGTGACCTAGCCTCAAGGGATTTCCTAGCCTAATTAGCTTATTAACTGATATGTAGGAGGGTGTGTTTTTTTGTTGTTGTTTTTTTTGTCATGGACCTCAGACTAGAAAGTAGGTATCTCTCTTAGGTATAGAGTTTAGTGACCAAGAGACTAGAAGTGGGGGTGGAAAACTGAGCAAGAGCATTTCCCCCAAGCTGATCACATTTTTGACAAGTGGCTATGGAGCAGAACATAGTAGAGGACTCTTCAGGCAACTATCACATTGAACATTTTCATCTTCCCAACAGTGAGCTAAAGAGGCGCCTGAAAGCTGAAAAGAAAATAGCAGAGAAGGAGGCCAAGCAGAAGGAGCTCAGTGAGAAACAACTAAGTCAGGCCAATGCTGCTGCCACCAACCACACCACTGACAGTGATGCGGGTGCCGAGGAGGAGGGCCTGGACCCAAATGTGAGTCCCCTGGACCGCCACCCTGGCTGGGCACACAGAGGCTTTTGATGGGGCTTCTGGCAAATCCCTGGGAACCAATGACTAAGAAGATAAAATAGGGGCTGGAATATGCACTTGACCCTAAGT